TGAGCGTAGCAGGGAGTCCCTAAGGCTACCAGAGATCAGGTAGGCCAAAAAATGTTTTTCACTAATTTGTAAATTATGCATTTTTGATTACTATTTCGATTGATATCCACGATGTTATTCGTTCAATGTGTCAGTCAGTCATTCATGAAGACGCGTCAATAATGTATATCTCCTTAGGACGAACATATCCCGTAGACATTACAACAAGAATTCCGTCATCGCCTCCTCATCAGCACATAAAAAATTAAAAGCATGTTTTTCTTTAGTGTTCGTGTCATTTCGAACTTCAAACAAAGGAGTATTGCAAAATACTAATTTATTCAGGAGAAGAACCTTTTTTATTTACTGATCGTCGAAGTAATTGATCGGAATAATTGCAATGAGCAAAACAGAATACTAAAACCTACACATCAGGGACATAACGTCTTATCTTCGATTCGGGGAATAGGAAAGTACTCTTTTCGTCCAACAAAATAAAGATGGGTTTCGTTTTTAAGGAATCGATGCATGTGATATTTCAGGGACGACTTGAAAAGAATTCTTTGTGTTATAAAATTAAGTATTTGAGGTTTTTGTGGAAAATGGCCAGCCACTGTTTTAACACGATTTTTATTAATTTGATTTATTTGTAACTACTGTGGGGTTATTTTAATATTGAACATTTGACGTCTCTCAATTTTATCTTTATAGTGCGGTGACCTGCATAAAAACTTCGATTAATGGGAATGAATCGATACGGACTTGAAACATGTGTGAATTTTAAAAATTATCAGGCAAATCTCTGTCCCATTATTTTTTTCTTTCGTTAATTTAAAATGTTTTAATATTTTTTTTGTGTCAATAGATAATTTTCGTTCATGGATATCAACTTTGCCCTGGATTGCCTTTGCCCATTGCCAAGGACTCCGACTGAAGACTCCAATCAGATTTAAAGAAGGATATAACACGGTAGATACGTGTTATATGACGACGAATTGTGCGAAATAGTGTTGTTATATGAGACTAGAAGCCAGTACAAAAAGCAAAAAAATATGTGTGGTGTCGTGGGACACCGGATAGGAACGAAGTTCCTTATAAAAATATTAATAAGTTCTATTGGAGGTATAAAGAAAATAAAACTGGAGGTTTCGCAACAATCCACGGTCATTCGGTAACGTGCGAACTTATTGTGGTGCACTTCATTCACGGTTGTTTGCATAAGAGTTAGTGTATTGCGCAAACGAACGCTCTGAGATCGTGGTCAATGAATGATAAAAAAAAAGTGTGTGTGTCCGCTCCGACGCACGACTGGAGTTTACTGGATATAAAAAATTAAACGAAACAATACGAGAAATAGTTCTATATTACGACAACACGATACACTACAGATTATTAACAAATTAACGAGACACAAAACAAACGACTAACAAATATATGAAAATACAATAATGAGAGAAACGCGCGATCAGTACGAGGCTTTGTGGCGGACTGCCGGCGCAGCAGCCCGGCGTCACCTGCGATAACGCGGCCGCGCGTTGGCTCCTGATTGGCGCGCGCACGCATCACGCAATCAGGAGCCAATCAGGCGCATAACGCATTTCGTGTGACATGCTAGTACGATTTTGGTCCCCATCATTTTCATACCCCGGGCCTATATATGTAAATCGATTCTAAAGGAGTAAACTCCAAAAAAATTTTTTTTGTACGTTATTACAAAATTCATTCGTACACTGTGTGCATTACTAATAAAAATCTTACGTTACGGACATTTTTCCCCGGTTAGGGTACCCCTCCGCATCGTCCCATAAGGAGCTTCGTTCCAAAAATAAGCAGTAAAATTTCAGTTATTCCCATCTATTGTGTATGACGGCGTTAACGATATTTATGTTATATAGCACGTGCAATAGGAGTGACTCACACAAGCCAGGTGCGCCGGCCGTGTCGTTCCACTCGTAAACAACAGCTGCAACAGAAGTGACTCATAAGCCAGCTGCGCCGGCTAGTATAAAAAGGCGGAACGTGCCTTGAAATGAACATTCGTTGGACTGCGCTTGCCTGGTGCACTTACTATATCCTTGTTACGTTGTGTGATTCAGTGACTGTTGTACGTACTGGTTAAAGTTGGACAAGGGTTAAAGTGAATTGTTAAGATAACATATTGTTGATTAAATCAGGAATCAAAAAGTGACATCGTTTTACTTGGTGTTCAACAAGATAATGTCTACCTTCAAGCTTACATGTTCATATTGCATAATGTGATTTTCTAAATAATTTTAAACAAAAATCTCGTTATCGTGTTGAAGAAGTACCGTGTTATAATAGAGTTTATAGGAAGTGAAACGGTATTATAAAATAATCATGGTGTTTTAGAAGGGTTACCGGTATTGCTTAATATGTATAATGTACTGGCTGACCCGGCAGACTTCGTAGTGCCTCAATCGATAAATAAAAGACCTAAACTTTTGTATGATATAAACTTAAAAAAAAACAAAAGGAATCCGTCCGACGGGGGACACATCAAAGGAAAAACAAAATTGTTATTTGTATTTAATTCCGAGCATTTTCACATTAATCTACCTTTTAAACCTTCTCTGGACTTCCACAAATAGTTCAAGACAAAAATTAGCCAAATCAGTCCAGCCGTTCTCGAGTTTTAGCGAGACTAACGAACAGCACGTAACTCATTTTTATATATTACATATAGATATAGATTTGTCCAAGGATTTAAAACTCCTTGAAACTTAGTGATTGTACCTATGTATTTTGGATACAATTGTAGTAAATATACATAATATCGTATGAACCAAAGATCTATACGATTTTATAATAGACATTTTATCGCATAATAAACACGCCGATCATAAAAAAAGTGTATAAAGTCGTAATGTTGTTTTATGATTGTTTTGTTGACTATTGTTTTTGAATTGCAGGAAAATTTGAATATTTTTTTTTATTTACTGTCACAATAACTTACGATTCTTATTATATAGTAAAAATGTGAAGCTTTCTCGCGTGGAAGTTCTAATATCTTACATGACATTTGAACACGATTTTAGAAACTTTAGGTACAGAAAGAAGAACTTTCGAAAATAAAACTTTTATTTATTTTTGAAGTGAAAACTTCTACGTGATTATACGTGAAATTAAAACATCAATTCACAGAGGTCGCTACCTTACAATTATTTACTAATGACAAAATTTTACATATACTTAAGACGTTTAGGATAATTGTATTTTAATTTTGGAAGGTTTCACTTCTACCACGTGTGAATTGCACACATTTTGTTTTTTTTTTATTGTCCTTGTAGGAGCAGTCGAGCATACGGCCCACCTGATGGTGAGAGGTTACCGTCGCCCATGGCCTTCAGCAATGCTAGGGACAGAGCCAAGCCGCTGCCTACTGTTAATGCATGTTGTATTTTGTTACCTTATTATTTCTATGTGTGATGATAATAGTGGAAACGTTTGAATTTTGTTTACATATTTTTATTGATATATATATAAATGTTCTGTACAGTGGGTAACGGAAAAACAAAATTATGTACATAGATGTTGTTTTTTATTCTTATTTTGGCTTATAGGTATAGATGAGTTTCGTTTATAATTCAAGAGGAATTATTGTTATTGCTAACCTTTACCAGTGGTAGGACGTCTTGCAAGTCCGTACACGGGTAGGTACCACCGCCCTGCCTATTCCTGCCGTGAAGCAGTAATGCGTTTCGGTTTGAAGGATGGGGCAACCGTTGTATTGTAAAAACCGAAAATTTTCAACTCACTCTCGAACTCACACGTCTCTGGGTGGTCGGTGGCACTTACGTTGTTTAAGTCTATAGGCTCCGGTGACTACTTAACATCAGGTGGGCCGTGAGCTGGGTAAACACATGATTTCAATAGTTACATTAGTCTTGTCAGTTTAGTATGTCATTTGTGTTATTAAGGTGAAATATTAGCATACTGAAGAAGACTTGTATGTACTATATGGGTAAATCGGAACATGACATTCAAGGTGGATGGCGCATTTACGTTGTAAATGTCTATGGGCTCCAGTAACAACTTAACACCAGGTGGGCTGTGAGCTCGTCCACACATCTCAGCAATAAAAAAACTAAAATGTGGTGTCGTGGGATACCAGGTAGGAACGAAGTTCCTTCGGCTAATGTAGAATCGACACAATTTGCAAAAAAAAGAAGGAGAAAGAGAATGGTATTATACACTACTCGCTTGTGTATGCGAGTGTCGCGCTCGCGCCTGCGCACGTCTCATTTAACGGTTTTATTCCACGCACTTTTTTCCACGGATTTTTTCTTACGGTTTTACTATCACATTTTTTTCAGTTCGGTCGCGCAGCAAAATCCCTATCCCCTCCAAGCCTGCCGTAAGGAACTTCGTTCCAAAAAAAAACATGAATGTTGCTTCCACCCTCACGACAGGAGTTAGAAGAGCCCCCTTTACAGATCCTCACTTCCTTTATTGTCACTTACACTGCGCCGTATAAAAAGTTCAAACGAAAACCCAACAGTCGTAAATAAATAAAATATGACAGATTGAAAATAACGCAAAGCAAATGAGGATTGTGAATTAAAAAAAGTATTCACGAAACATAAATTACCAACGTTAACAAAGCGATGAACCTCAACCGTTACGGTATTATTTAAAATTATACGCGATTTTATTCTACAACAAGTAATTTGCAAACGAAATTAGTTGAACACGAACGCATGAATATTCAAGTGTTTTTATTGCGTTCGAACAGGGACGTACTGAGAGGATTTTTTTTATCAAAGGTCAGTTTTCATAGAATAAATTTGATTAAAAAAAAACCAGTGTAACATCTCCTTCACTCTCACACTGAAACTGATTGGATTTAAAATTCGCAATGGCTACCACATTACTGAGGCTACTCAAATTATATATCCTGAGCCTTCTTTGAATTAGCATACAGTAAGAAAAGTAGCAATTTAACTGATGACAGTGAAAACTTTAATTGCACTGGCTTAACCCCAACAATTATGTACCGTAAGATGGAAGGCAAAGTCGAGGCAGCACTGTCCATATGGAAAGATGGAGTCGAGGTTGGCTCAAAAAGATATAGGCTCGAACCCTACTGCACAGTCTACCAGGCGGAGTTGTTGGCACTGGCGAGGGCCACTAGAGTGATAATGGGATCAGAGGCGAGTGAGTTCCGTGTTTTTTGTGACTCAAGAGCGGCGCTAGACTCGATAACAAACAATGATTGCTATCACCCGTTGGCCGTGGAAGCTAGAGAGAATATCATAGTACTGCAAAGAATAGGCAAAATAATAAAAATATTGTGGATCAAGGCCCACGTGGGAGTGAAAGGAAATGAACGAGCTGACAAATTGGCAAAGGAAGCGGCCCTTAAACTAAAAACTAAAGCGGACTACAGCGCGTGCCCGGTGTCCTATATTAAAACGCACATAAGGGGAACCTCTATAAAAGAATGGCACCGTAGATACGACGACAGGGAAACTGCATCGGTCACGAAGGCCTTCTTTCCACGGGTGGAGACGGCGTACCCTATTGTGAGGAAACTGAAATTTGACCAAACATTGACACAACTAATGACTGGACACGGGGGGTTTCTGTCTAATCTGTATCGGTTTAAGCTGAGAGACAGTCCGGCATGCCCGTGCGACTCAATATACGACGAAACGCCCTTACACATCATAGCAGAATGTGCCATATTTAGCCGGGAGAGACAAGAACTAGAAACTGAGATAAAAATCCAAATATGTACAGAAGAAATAAAAAATATTATGGAAAATAAAAAGTAAGAGACAATTTCATCAAGTATTGTAAAGACATTGTTAGTAAAGCTATTAAAAAAAAAATTTTGCACCATGGTAAATTTATGATTGATTTGCTTGATATGATATGATTGATTTATGCACGATTCCGGATTTGCACTATTTATGAAGACAATACTAGACGTGACGTGGATGACAGAGGTGCCTTTTGCTTCGGCTGCTTTGTATTTTAATTCAGAACCAATAAAACAGTTTCTCGGGATATATATATATATAGCTAATGTCACTATAATTCACTATACCTATCTTTCATAAACTAAGGGTCGTTTGGAACATCACTGCGTACGCAGAATTACAACCTACATACATTTAAATAAATCCGACAAACTGGGCGATCTTTAGAAGAATCCAGGCTATATATAAACTATCTCTGTTCGAACTATTATCTAAATCTTTTCAGCCATTTCTGCTCAATCGAGCACGAAACATTCAAACAATTACATTAAAATATTAGTGTAGATGACGTAGATAATAATATTTCAATGAGTACAAAATACCGCTTGTTTAGATATTTAAGTACATTTGCTGATGATCAGCAGATGTAGAAATGGGACCGTATCACGTCATCGGATCGTCCCGATCCACTAACGGAGCTTTTAGGTACCTCAAACGCACCGGTCATCGTTCTTGTCGAACCCGTCGCTTGCGACGAAGGGCCTGGACGAGTAAATAGTAAATTAACCCACAGACACAGCCCAGAGTTTCTCGCCGGATCTTCTCATCGAGTCGCGTTTCCGTTCCGGTGGTAGATTCTGCAAAGCACTGCTCTTGCTAGGGTTCGTGTCGTCGTCACCTACTAGTTAAGGTTACGCTGAAATAGCCTCTTAAGGCTATCAGCATAGGTAGGAAAAAAGGGACCCTAGTAATAGTATCAATATTTACTTCCAAACAAACTCATTCCTCTCCTCTTAACTCCTAATATTGTTGAAAATTTAATTTTCATAATTACACTTCTTCCTGAGTCCGCCCCATTATTTAACACGTTATCAGTTTGCAACTCAAATAATATTATTTCATTTTTCGTTACATGTTTCTACATTATTTTATGTGATACAGAGTATCATTGAACAATGAAATTATCAAGAATAATGTGCGCTATGAAAGGAGAAAGTGCAGCATTGTACATTCATATTTTAATTATTTTAGTGTTAGTATGGATTGACAATATTATGGCTGTCTTCCTCGAGTCGATAAGTCTCAATGCCTCAGCATTCATGGACCTTCTGAATGTGTTTCTTGTGGACTTTCTTACGCCCACTGTGTCCTCAGCTGCGGTGATCGCATCGAGGACTGATGATAAAACTCATGGTTCACCATATATAGACATTACACCGTTCCACTATTCCACCCTCCACTAAAAGATTGGGGTTAAATCCTCAGTTCTAGTGATTGTTCAACTATCAAACAAAAACACCTGACTGCTTGGCATCAGCAAACGACAGGACGTAACCAGCTAAGTGGGCTCACAATTCCCTCTACCACCAACAACAACTTACTCAATCGCAAGATTAAACCGTAAAAGTATTTTTAATTTTATTTGCGACTAAAGATAACCGAATTAATTAGTATAATGATTTTTTACTTAAATAAATTAAATGCATTTTGTTGGGACCATTCGTGAAAATTGTATTAGGAATGTATTTAATCTAAAACTTTTTCTGAATCATCCGTAGATTCTTGTATGTATTAAGAAAAACGCTGTTTATAAATTACACAAGCAGATTCCGTGAACTTTCTCGGCGATAAACAATTAGTACCCAAAACATTGGAACGGTTCGTTCATATTTTGATTTGGGAAAAATTTATTATGAATTTCAAACCAGTGACCGCTCATATAATAGGAGATAATAAATTATCTATATATTAATACGTGAAGCAAAAAAAAAACTTTGTACACCTTTTTACGAAAATTGCGCGGACGGAGGAGTATGAAATTTTCCACACTTATAGAGAATATAGAGAAGGAGAGCACATTGCTAATATTTTTTTTAAATAATGCATAAAAGATACATTAAATCAATAAAGAAAACATTACACACTACCATGTATTTGACACACACACGCATGGATATTAACTTTTCTTATTGCATAAAGTCTATGGTCGAATTGAGAATAGATTAAATATTGTTTGTCTTTGTTAATATTTGTCTATAGTGTAGTCTTGGCGAAATATGTGATTATAGAAGCATAAGAAATAGTCTTTGACAATAAAACCATAATAATGTTCAAACTTAAAATTTCAATTAATTATAGTCGAATTTCGACTACTGCGGGACCACTAGTTAGAATAAAAACTAATAATAGTAGTAATAACTAATAATCTAATATATAAAATTCTCGTGTAACAATGTTCGTTCCCATACTCCTCCGAAACCGCTTGACCGATTCTCATGAAATTTTTTATGCATATTCAGTAAGCCTGAGAATCGGCTACTATCTATTTTTTATACCCCTAAGTGATTAGGGTTGTCCACCCCTAGCATTTTTTTTTTATTTGGAATTTTTTTTTTTTGTTTTAATGAGGTATGATGTGGTTGAATGAGGTTTTGTTATTTTTATTATATATTCCCTCATCGTTCACAGCACTACATACCTCTTTCACTCATTTACCACATCCTTACACAATTACAATAAGTTAGTTTTTTTTTCTACACTAGAAATTCCCTAGACATCTTATATATGGCAAAACAATGTTTGCCGGGTCAGCTAGTAGTTCTATATAATTTTTAATCTCTGAAATAACTTTATGGAATTCGTACGAAAAGGTTGAAGCCTATCTCTTTAATATTTGTTTAAAAATTATTTCGGTATCAAACTCTACATCGAAACCAAATGTTTTTTTTAATCCTAATTTAATTAATTTTTATGCTTTTCATTTTTAGAATCCTTTTAGGAGTATTTTAATCAATTAACTAAATCCTTTGCATGTAAATAGTTATACTGAGAATCCTGAATTTCGAGGAGTTCAATGAACCGATATCCTTTGCCCAGTTGAAGAGCATTTTACTTATTGACTGATTATGCAGACAGGTCATAGGTTAAGTTTGGTGAATACCCTCATTTATGTTGAGATATAGAACCATCTTTGGACAGAACACAACCAGCGAATCCAATATTTTTTTTATTTATTGCTCAGATGGTTGGACGAGCTCACAGCCCACCTGGTGTTAAGTGGTTACTGGAGCCCATATACATCTACGACGTAAAAGCGCCACCCACCTTGAGATAAGTTCTAAGGTCTCAAGTATCGTTACAACGGCTGCCCCACCCTTCAAACCGAAACGCATTACCGCTTCACGGCAAAAATAGGCGGGGTGGTGGTACCTACCCGCGAAATCTTACCCGAGCTCAAGATTCGGATACGCCTCAGTGCTATATATATATAATTTTTTTATTGCCCTTGTAGGCAAACGAGCCTACCTGATGGTAAGTGGTTACCGTCGCTCGCAGACGTGAGCAACGTCAGAAACACAGCCAAGTCGCTGCCTACCAAAATGCTTTTTGTGGAGAAATTTCATCAAAGGACTTTTAAGCTGCTTATCTAGGTGAACGCGAAAACGAAAGCTTTTATAGCTTTTCAACAACTTGACCTATTACAGTTGACCCCGTCGGTAAACAATCACCCGCAAATCTAATCGATACGACAAATTAGGCAACTCTACTTATAAATAGAATACAAGGATAGCTAACGAATCGGTTTGAATCGAATTAGAATTGGATCCCGTTATGCATGCATACACCAAGAAATTAGAAAGAGTAAGATGTGATTAACATGCTAATATTGATTTTTTTCCAGAAGACTTACGATCAAGGCGCGTTCCTAAGCGTATGCTCGACAGGAGAAACAATATTTTTGGGCACATCTCTAGGGAATTTCACTTATGGGTGGTAGGACCTGTTGGGAGACCGCGCGGGTAGGTACCACCACCCTGCCTATTTTTGCCGCGAAGCAGTAATGCGTTTCGGTTTGAAGGTAGGGCAGCCGTTTTAACTTGATACTTGATACCTTAGAACTTCTATCTCAAGATGGGTGGTGCACTTTGTAGTTTTTTTTTTTATTGCCCTTGTAGGCAGACGAGCATACGGCCCAACTGATGGTGAGTGGTTACCGTCGCCCATGGACTTCAGCAATGCCAGGGGCAGAGCCAAGCCGCTGCCTACCGCTAAATGGGTCTATGGGCTCCGGTAACCACTTAATACCAGGTGGGCTGTGAGCTCGTCCACCGATCTGAGCAATAAAAAAAAGCGAGTGTAATGGCTCGATCGAACGACGTCCGAATGTCCTTGTTTGGAACTTGTATATATGGTAAGCGAGATTCCAGCATCTGTCAAATATATTTTATTGTACCGAAGACTGCGAGATATTTCTAAACTTCATCGACTCAGTAGTTTTGGCATCTAATCGGATACAATTATTGCATGCTTATTAGATTTTTTTAATCCGATAAAAACATAAAGATCGACATACAAGATAATAGGGCCCTAAATAATGTATCTTCCACGAGAAAATATATAATTTCAGTCAATAAAGGAATGAATGGATCTCTCCTGCATAACAAGTTCTAATTAATCTCCTTCTAATAATATAATCTGCGTCAATCCCGTTTTCAATTACCGCGATCTATCAAATTCTCGATATTCAAAGGTTAGTGCCTTCAAAATATAACAAGTTCGGGCTTCTATAGATATAAATAAAATTGGAGTGTCTGTTTGTAATATTGAAATAACCGCTTTTTATTAAATACACATTAACAGGGTACATACACCAAAATAACATTTTTTACAATTTTTGTTTCTGTTTGTATGTTCAGTCTAATCTCTGGAACGGCTGGCCGATTTTGAAGAGACTTTCACGGATAGCCAGCGGATGATATACGGAGTAACTTAGGCTACTTTTTTTAGACAAGCTTCGCCCCGCGGTGTCACCCGCGGTACGATAATAACCGCGGGTAACATCGTGGGACTCA